GTCTTAATAGTGTTGATGAACTGGTTAGAAAACGCATTTTTTCATTGCATCTCTGTTATCTTGCATATTTGTTATATATTATTGGTAACTCAGATTCACTGAAATGAAACCTAGAAGAATAGACAACAACCACTAATAGCTGAATAGCGTTAAAAGATGTAGATGTCGAAATAAGTTATCTTTGCAAGTTATGCACATAACTGCCTATTCACTATAGGCTGTTAAATCTATATGCACCTAGCTGTGGGAAATCGCTATAACGCATTCTATGAACGTCAACCGTACGTTTTTGTATTCGATCCCCTAAGCCTAATGCAGGGGTGTGCAAACTGCGGCTCGCGGGCCAAATGCGGCCCGCAAGGAAATATTGTGCGGCCCGCGGAGAAGTGCCAATTTTGGAAGGTGTTACTCCGAAATGAGTTTTTAGTTTAGTTATTCTGGTACGTGCTAGCAATTCCAATCCCCTTGCGTCGCAAAGATATACCAGTAGCCGAGTGCCACTGTCATATTAGCAAAACTAGCTAGCAAAAGCATTTTTTGTACCTCAAACTACTAAAAATTATACCTTAAATAAATGTGCGACCCGCGGCTTCACCTAATTACTTGAATCTGGCCCTCCTGTAATAAGGGTGCACAAACCCGGCCTAATGCATTGACACGTAAAATCGTCACAGGTACAATTCTGCACAATCGTCGTCTTCAATAGTGCTGTTCAACATTCAGCAACACACAATGCTATGTTTGATTTGTACAAATTCATTCCAAATGCACCTGGCGGAATGAGGCTACCTATACATAAAAGAGGCGAGGTGAATATATAATGTTTGTACTTTTGTTAACTTGAATGAATTAAAAGTTGAAAATTACAATAACCATAGAAATTCCATATAAACTTCATTCGTACCTAAACACTGAATTTCTACCTACACACAGGCAACACTTCAGCGAGTGCTAGATTCTCTTCCTGATGTTACAATGGTAACGATTTTATTTGGAAGTGTCTTCGTTTTGACAGAATTGCCAGAAGAAGAGGTGGGTCTGTCTTATGCTAACTGAAATTGAAATATTTCTATGCAGTTTATTTATGACTTCTGTATTTATGACTTCTTGCATTATTGATTCGTTAGGATGCATCATTGAATTGAAAGTATGGATAATTAGTTGTCAAGATTTCTTGTCATTCTTGTATATTATTCGGATTTTAAATAGCAGTTTCGTCTTTTTAAAAACTGCAGTTTTTCATCAAATTAGAATAGAATGGCTATTAGCTAAAATACAGAATATAAAACCTTTGTTTCTGTTGAAAAAAGAGTTGCCATTGAGAAATTGATAGTTTACTATACACTAAGACGACATTCCTCTGCACGTGATTAACCTAATGTGTAACTGAAACTCGAGTTTTTTTTGGATTTATTATAGCATTGATAAAATGGATAATCTGATGATCTTTTTATTTGGAGTATTTTTCAAATCAAATAATAACAATACAGTTTACGTACTGATTTGAATGAATATGCTGAATTATATAATAATTTATGCAGGTTTATCTTGGAGAATTTCCAATGAATCTCTTTGTTGAAGAAGAGCCAAAGAAAGTCTTGAAAGAGTTTGCAGATGATCTTAAAGGGGTTAGTGATAAAATGAAAGAACGAAACAAGAAATTGGAATACCCATACGAATATCTTTTGCCAGAAAATGTACCCACCGGCACTACTGCTTGAGTAGAACGATGTGTGATTTATTAAATACAAAAATTATAGAAGAAGTCATGTATATTTTTAAGGCTAAGAGAAAAACTAAAATTGTATATTCTGAACTCAAATTTTCATAAACCCTATATCGGAAATATAAGAAATATTGAATGAGGGCCTATAATATTTTATCTTCAAATATCCAAATACCTGCATGCTAAAATTGTCAGCTCATCTTTTATTTGATTTTTGTTAATTATGTATCGTGTATTATAACAATATGTAGTAGAGATTGGTGTGTTTTATGATATACTGATATCACCGAATCGCGCCTCTCATACAGCTCACCGTAATATTTGAAATAAATAAAACTAATAGCCTTTTAGCGAAAAATTTAGTCTTTGAGCACTGGGAATTTCAGAGTGATTGATCCAGTAATCAAAGAGAAAAGCGATTTTATTTCTGTGGCGTAACAAAGAACAACAAGAACTAAAAGAAGAAGAGTGCCAGCATAAAATGCAAAACGATCGTTATGTCCACTAAGTTAGTGGCAATAACGTGTACAATAAAGTTACTAGGGCTGGGAATTTCAGGGAAAACACTTTAACCGTTAACCGGGCAAAATTAACCGGCTAACTGCAGCGTGACGTTTGACGTAATAATTCATGATTTTAGCTTATTACATCACAATGGTGACAAAGCAATTTCGTCTCAAAATATTCACTAATCGAGATAGATTCGCGATCGCTCTGCTGCAAGGGATATGCATCGTGCTTCGGACATGTGAAAGTATTTCAGTAAAACCCCATTCCGTTATTTAATGTCATTTATGTGACAAACTTTCAGTGTTCGATGCAGTGGCGTAGCAAGACTCTAGTGGGCCACCCCGCAAAAATATTTCGTGGATATGACCCTAAAAACTCTCGGACATAAGCTAAAACAACGCTTCTTTTGTTTCGTCAAAAAGCATAACATGTCGCTATAACAAGGCAATGGTAACCTATAATTTGCTGTTTATATTGGTCACTTTAATTTTTTTCATACGTTCTTATCTCTTCTGCGTTTCTGTGCGTCACTGAGAAGTTTTGTTTTCTACTTCGTTCTGACAGCCTTCGTGATTTTGCCGGTGCGATTTAAACCACAAGACGCCGAAAATCGACGACTCCCTGGCATTGTTACGTAACAAAACGATTTGAGCAGAACTAACATCAACGTTATAAGATAGATGGATAGTTTATTTCAAAAACTCCATAACAAACATAAATTAAAAATGGAGAATTCTAGAGGGCAAGCAAAAACTATAAAAAAGTTTAAAACATGAGAAGTATCTCATGTGCCTGCCCACCAGCACGCACACAAAAACACAAGCCCAGTTAAATGAGGCTTGGGCCAAATTTGAAAAACAAAATACACTATAGTATTAAACTTTCGGACTATTGTACTTTCAACAATTACATTGATAATGACCAATACCTGCAACCTCAAAGATAATGTGGGGAGTGGAATGTGATAAATTTGCGACGATAGTCATACTCATGAAGCCATGAAAGCTTTAAGAAAGACCAAGCTACGAAAAACTACACTGATTGCTAGATTGGGCATTGCGGAAAAGATAAATGATTTAAAATATACAAACAAACGCAAAATCATGGCGGCAAATTCGGTGTGCGGACACTCATAAAAGCAATTATCAGGAAAAACACTAACCACACGTGAGCAGGTCTGTAGCCTAATTGATACATAGATGTGGTCAACATTGTTAAAACAGTAGCGGTATACACACAGAGAGAACAAATCAAAAATATGCCATTAAATTAATGTTAAAAATGTCGCGCATTGATATGGTCATAAGTCATTCTACAAACCATTTACACATATATAGTTGAATACTCATTTAGTATTCAAGCGGAATTTCTAGAAATAGCAGTATCTGCTGACAGTCCGAATTCAATATCATACTCTTTGTCACAAAATAAAATATCTGAATCAATCTCTGATGTCCATTACTTGTTTTGCACTGTAGCTTTTGGTTTGCGGCCTAAATTTCTAAATTCTAACCGCTTAGGCCCCTTTGCGCTGTGGGCCCTCCCGCGACCGCGGGGGTTGTGGGGGTGGATGATACGCCACTGGTTCGATGTGCAAGTTCTACCCTGAGATATCATAAAGAAAAACAGCATCAACTGCGCACAATGAATAGACGATTTTGCAATAAAATCGTGAACGATATGATTTTACCGTAAACTGATTCTGAATTTATCATTGTCAAATTTTCATAATCAGCAATTTTGGTACTTATTTTTCATATTTATTGGGTCCTTACCAATGCAGTTACTGTATTGATATTCTTTTGAATTAAACGCCACAGGAGATAAATTTGCGATGACGTAACAATTTTTGAAGAAATTGTACATTATAAAGATGATTTGTACAGTTGATGTACGTCAGTTAACAGTTAAAATAAATCGTAACTGTTAACCATCTAAAATCGGTTAACCCGTAATAGTATATATTTACGGTCAAAGTAATACCATAGTTTCAAGAGTGTATTTTTCACAGAAAGTAGTTTTACTTTACTAGTTCCACCAGGTTTTTTCCGAACCTATTTATTTACCTGATATTTCAATAATAAGTTTGATATCCCACAAATATTTACGGTTATATCGCCGGATGAGAACAGAAGGGGCCTAAGTCACATTTTTGGAAAATTGACTTTTTTCAATATTTTGGGGTTTTAAGCCATGCTGTACAAGGTGGTGGTCTTGAAATCCTGAATTTCTCAATAATAAAAATTTTAGCTGGACGTAGGCCTAAAATATTTAAGAACAGAATGGGCCTAAGTCCAGCTAAAATTTTTATTATTGAGAAATTCAGGATTTCAAGACCACCACCTTGTAGAGCATGGCTCAAAACCCCAAAATATTGAAAAAAGATAGTCCTAAGTCCCAATATGATGGGCATGAACATCAGAAACGAAATGTCCGAAACTTACATCCCTAAAAATTTGTTCAGTGCAACTTAGGCCTAAGTCACCTTGTTTTACCTTGCATCCCATACAAAAAATTTCAGAAGTTGTTGAGAACAGAATGGGCCAAGTTATTCTCATCCACATTAAAATAACCAGAGCTCAGGACTTTACTAAGTGTGAATATCTAGAAATTCGAAAATAAAAAAATTCCAAATTGTTTTTTGCGTTTTTCTCAAAACTCAAAATTGTGACTTAGGCCTGTTCTGTTCACATCCGGCGATATATTTACGGTTAACCATTCCCAGCCCTAAAAGTTATATATAAATACGCATGACGATAGACGGTACGCTGCTCTCACTCACGTGGGATGCCGTACGTCATTTAAGCTCAGGCAGATTTAGAAAACTTACAGCGGTTACAACTTCGTGGTCCCAACTACAGAACTAGCAGACTAGTCAGATCTTCGAATAGTGCTCGTTGCAAAACGGTACCAGTACCCCTAGTCTACTTTTTTTTGTTCTGTGGTATAGTAACAGATCATCACTATCTTAAGCACTTTAAAAAGATAGGCCTAAGTAAGGGACTATGATGGACAATTCGTCTCAGTTTTATATAGCAATTCAGGGAATTCTCAAAAGTTGGACTGCACTCCAGGTTAGTATTCCATTACGGCTGTGCGGTACCGGTACCTATTCTATAATACTGTACCGGTAAGGTATCTCAGCTCGGTACTGTAGTCTGGTAGTAGCCTAACCACAGAACTACTGATACCTGTATCCTTGTATCAGTACTGCAACATTACAGTCTGACAGTACTGAAAACTGAGGGTTACTGGTACCGTAGCTGTTTTAAATTCCATGCGGGGATAATTACGGTACTGACGGTAGAATTACTGGGAACCGCAGCCCACGGTACCGTAGTGAGGTGGTTCAAGTAACTGGGATGGTTATGTGCGAGAGGATTGCTGGACTCCTTGCCGTCGTTGGGTGGTTCACGTAACCGCTGGTTGGTTGCGGCTTCCTCCACCACCAAGTCCATGCTTCCGAAAACAAACTATATAACTAATCCCACACCCGACTTGGAATGGTAACCGGACGAGAGGCCGTGGTTCGCCACATGGATAGGCCGTCTTATCGACTTTCCTCTCCTCCGGGATAAATATGCAAATCCTATCCTATCCAGTGCAAAGAAGTTTAAATATGTAAATCCTAATCTAAAAATAAATAGCATGTGGTATATTCATCCTGAAGAGAGGCAAGAAAAAGAAGCTGATAAATCAAAAAAATTAGATTTGAGACCATGTTATTTCTATTACAGACTTTCATTTTTTCATATATCATTACAAGCATAAATTCAGATAAGAGAGTGAGTTTTCAAGTCAGTTTTTAATCATATCACAGTATCACTATGGTTTGAAGACTTTCTCGCTGTGCTTTTTTTCAATTTTTTATGATGGCTCACAACTATGGAACCTCCACAATTTCATACAAATTACCATGTTTTATGACAAATTTTGACTATTTTTAGTTGGCTGTTTCTCACGGCTTTGGTGGATCAGAAAGTGCAGAAAAAGCTCAATGGATGGTTGGGGTAATTGAAGACTATTTCAGGAATAATGGTAAAGCGAGATGTAATGTTGACTTGTTATTCTTTTTTTCTTCAATTCAATGTTAGATGATATTTATATTCGGAATACATCAAAACACAAAGTATTGATAAGGATGTCAAACCTTCTGCAATAAGTTATTATTTTCGATTGTATCAGATCTTTTTTTAGTATGCATCTTAGTTATTCAAATTGGTTTAGTTGAAGTTGTAGCCCTTCATATAATTTACAGCTAATGGTTTTAGAATTTTTTAAAGATTTTTACATTGTGCTTAATATTGAATCTGTGTCATGCAGGTATTACTTTAATTATGGTTATTTTTACGTATTTGGATCGCTTCTCTTAGTTTCATATCTTTTAATTCCCTGTATTTAGCCAAGAGTAAAAACCACACACAACCTCTGGACTATATCATAAACTCACTATAAAGTAATAAAATAATGGTTCCATATAAGTTGTGTATATTCATATTTTATCTAATTCATTTCAATAATATTGTTCTAACCCAGATGCCAGTTTACTTGATCAGCAGCCTCGATGACCATTTATGGCTTTGCATACTGACCTACACAACTATGTTTGCCCACGATGTTATACAATTGTTTCATATTTATGCTAGTATCTTTGATCAATTTTCCACCTATTATTTTTTTTCTATTTGGATATTTATATTACCAGATGATATAGAAGATTGGGAATTAGGAGAATTCATATCACAAATATTGAATGAAGAATTTAATACTGTTTTAGAAGATGATAGTTTATCATTGGTAATTTATTCTTAATTTAATTTCACAATTTGTAGCATTTAATTTAATTGTTCATGTTTTTCAAATAAGTGATATGATTTTAGAGCAATATTGAGTTTGAGCTAGGCAATAAAATAAAGAGAAAAATATCTTAATTGACCAACCAGATTATACTTCCCAGGTTCATGGATTAGATATTTTTCTGTGCACAAGGCCACGACTGTGCAAACTTTTCACTGTTTCAACTTCAATATAATTTTTAATTCGCATAGTTTTGGATATCCTGTGTTTTATATATTAGCCTTCATCATTTCACATCAATTTTTAAAATCAGTCTCAAGAAAAATGTTTCCTCTTACTTCCGCATGACCATGTTTGGCAGGAAAGAATTATCTAGCAATAAGAACATCCAATTTCCACATATTTCGTTTCATTGGAAGACTTTAATTTGGAGAACCTCGTGAAAACCATCCCACTTGAGATTCAACTAATTGATGGGGTGATAGAATTCATAATTAGATTTTGAGTGTGCTAAATTATATGATTCTATTTAGGTCGCAAAAGAAATTGTCACTGTATATGACCTTTGGTCACGAAATAAAACAAACGAATTAAATGCAAGATTGCAGTCACTCCCCCAGGTTAATTTATCGGAAAGTGTTTCTCAATGTGAAAAGGTATGAACAATTGACTTGTATTGAAAATGCCTGCCAAAATGTGTATACCGGTATATAATAATCTGAAGATATTTAAATATTTGCACATATATTGCTGTCTGATAGGTACCTTGAAAAATGAAAATGTAGGTATTAGATTTGCGAACCATGCCATATATTCATTTAGTATCGAAAGCTCATGACTTCTCCACCTACAGGACCAGCTCTTTATCCACTAATTGGCCCTAGCGAGTTAAAGCCCAAAGTTATGGCATTTTCCAAAAATATGTGCCTACAGCAATATTCCATATACGTCTTGATCCAAGGTCAAGCTTATGATTTGTTCTAATTGGCAGTGGTGTGAATACTCAACTGGTTCAAAAGAGCATGTATTATGTATCATACTTTACATAAAATTGTATCGAGTCATGTGTTTTACACAATAAAATGCACCACATAAATAAGAACAACTGCTATGTATCATACTTTACATAAAATTGTATCGAGTCATGTGTTTTACACAAAAAAATGCACCACATAAATAAGAACAACTGCGTTTAGACGGATTTTTTTATGGTATTTGTCATGCGAAAAAACATCAACAGCTATCAGGAGACAAGGCTGTCCTGATTTGAGGTAAAAAATGAGACTATGGCCGGACCTGAAGCCGTTATGTTTGTGCTGGTTTTCCATACCAGTTTCGAAGCCTCTGTTGTATTCAACCTTCTCCCTGACTTATCAGGGTCGTTTTTCATACTCATGTTCATGGAAACTATAATACTTTTTTTTACATATTATGATACTCTTTCTGTTTCTACATTATTCAATCCAGAGTGGAATGCCAACGGTTGAAGAGCAAGAAGTAATATCTTCACTATCAAACTCAATGAACCATGCTTCTGTCACTTCAAATAGTAGTAATTTAATGAATTATGATGAAGGTGATTCAAAGTCTAAGGAAGATGATGATGGTTGGAAAACAGTTACAACAAGGTCTCAGGCTAGGCGAAAGTGATAAATAGTATGTGTTTGTGCCTGATCGTATCGATTACATTTTATCTGCGCAGAATTGTAAGTTTTGTGACTAAGCTGCGAAAGGAATTGTGTCAGTTCTGTTCAGGAACAGTTTCTTTGCCTGTATTACAATCCTGGATACGCTACAACGTCTTCCTAATTACGTCAGTACGAGAAAGATAGCTGGCTTCAGTGAGTTTATTGCCGCATATACAATGACGAGCGATCGTTTAAATCAGGGTGGTCTGAGGTTGTCGGCGTTGCCAGGGCTGGGGAGCTGGAGTCTGAGCCATGGAGCCGTTACATTTTGATGGGAGTCGGAGTTGGAGCCAAGCTTTTCATAACAGATGGAGCAGGAGCTGGAGCTACCAAAAATTTAGTGGCTCCAGGCTTCAGCTCCTAAATATCTCATTTTTTGTTTTTCAAATTTATAATTTTTTTCTGATAGCGTTACAAATGATAAAATCTTTTCTTTTCAACTTATAATTCATTTTAAAAATTTTAGTTCCTAATATTTTTTAAAAAGTTTCCAGTTATTCTGTATGTTTGAAAGTTTAGTATCAAAATTTGAAGCGGTTCGTTTTTATCAAAATTTTGATTCTCATTTCCACTAAGCTGCAATTTTTCATGATGGCCGTCAAGCTCAAAAACCCTAATGGCCAGGGATTTTCGAAGAAGTGATTTTGGAATTTCCATGTAACATATTATGATTTTTTCGTGGCGTTGAATATCCAATCCATTTCATATGTCTTCAATTCTGTTCAACGTATCTCGAGATTGAGTCGTTTTACGACAAAAGAAAGGTTTAACTACTGCAAAATGCACCGCAGCAGTCACCTATCATAAAAATGTATGGCAAAGTGCCCCATTACGGTATATCTTGTTTTGATCCATAACATAGCATGTTCTGGTGAAAAGTCTCATCAATTTCCGTTGTTATTTTTTGAATATATAAAAAGTATATCGCGAGTAAGATTGTTTGCGTTTAGATTTATTTTAGTGACTGTATAATTTTCAAAGTCAACCGGTAAATAATATGTCGTAGGCAAAAAAATAATGAGATTAACAAGGCATTTTTTTTAGCTGTTGGGAGTCTCCTAGAACAAAGTTTATAGTGTTTTCCGTTTCATTTTAGTATCTTATAATAACTCTCCAATGTGGAAATTCGGCTTGCGATTGACTTCTCTATTTATCTTTAACATTTCATGGCTGATAATTATGAAAACGCCTCATTTCTAGAACCAACTTTTGGCCTGATTTGGGAGAGGGGGACGGCATCTAATTGGGTGACGATGGTAATTTCCATTATTTTGGGTCTGCTTATTCAATTTGTACCATAAAATACTGCCTCCCCGTCAGGCTAGTTTAAATTATCATGAGTTGAAGGGCTATTGCCGTTACTATCACATGTGCGTTGCATTTCGTGAAAAGCGTCAATTGTTTTCGTCGCCATAAACATTAGGCCATAACATCTTTTATTTCAGTGTTTATTTTTCCCTTAATCACAATTTCTCAAGACAATGTTTTGTGTCACGCACCATATTTGTGAGAAAACGAGTTATTACATAATCATCGGTGATGAAATTCTAAGATAAATAAAGAAGTCAATACGCAAACCAAATTTTCCTGATTAAAAAGCGACATTATAAAATACTGAAAATAAAACAGAAAACACCATAAGTTTTGCTTTAGAATGGCCCACGACAGATTTTATTTGGCCGCATGATTGCCAGTTATGTTGAACACAATTAAATTAAAATTAAAAGACAGTTATTATGTGGTAGAAAAAGTCATTATGAGCTATTTTACCTAATGCGCAAACGCTGCGACCATTCCAGAAGCCGATTTTCCTTCCCGTCTTATTGTGGGGTTATATGTAAAACCCTTATATGCTGGGTATACCGATTCGCATATAAAAAACAGCATATAATAACTCTCAGTGGATTCACAAGTTACATGCAGGAACAAAAAGGAATTATCATGACAACGACTTGAAGGGTGTTTACAGCCTAAATAACATGCCACAATTAGCAAAATGCGTTATTGGGCTGCACTACTGATAATGGCTATAGAACCGGAGCTGGAGCCAGCGCCGGCATTAAAAAATGAAGCGCCGGAGTTGGAGCTAAAGTTTGAATACACTGCGACTCCGGAGCTGGAGCCGGAGTCATCATGATTTCGAACCAGCTCCCCAGCCCTGGGCGTTGCGGGCCACACTATTATTTTTGTATTGTTCGTTATAATTCCAGCTTGGTGCGGGATATGATTTGGAAAAATCGTGGACAAAATTTTTCGTTTTGGACTTGGGGAGCATTGCTTCCTTGTTTTCAATTAGTTAATTAAAAACCAGAGGAAATTGACGATTCTCTCAGAACTCAAACTGATAGTTTTTATTCGAAATCAATATCTTACCTACTTTATTTATTCTTTTGGGTTTCATACCTATTCGTGCTGTACTGGTACAGATTCTGCATGATATGGTCTGTTGTTGTTAAGACAGTTTTTAGTTTTACCAGTGAGGTAAGCAGAATCTTTAATGATGCGATCCTGAACTCGCATCTGGTTATGAAAATCCTATCTATAAACTGAGATTTCCCTAGCTCATTTAATAAAATTGACAACCTCTAGTTTCCTAAACTTTATTCCTCTTTTTGCGGAGTTAAATCCTCTCGTTTAATAGAAACTTTGGTCGTAATTGCTGTTGTGTGTTGTTCAATCAAGCAGGACCGCTTTGAATTTTGCTAGAGATGGTACAATGGGTTGCAACATTTCAATTGTAGGAGGCGATCGAGAGTTTATTCTTATTTACTAATAATGACTGATTGACTGTTACTTGCAGCTGTGGGCCCAGTTTTTAGTGAATGGTGTTATCGGCAACATTATTTTATTATTTTCTACACATTGTCAAACTATTACACATCGAAAGTACAGTGAAATGGAACAAACAAAATACTGAAACAAGATCACTAAGATGTAACCTTGATTAGATATTCAAGATACCATAATGAAAGATATTCATGCAGTTTTTAAGTTATCTAATCTGAAGCATGTTTATGATTAATCTACTTTAAACTCATTCACTAAATATAAAATACCACGATAAATAGTAGTCAGAGAGCACAATGGCCAGCCTGTGACCGCTCGAGGTTTAAAATGAAAAGGTGTGAATAAAGAAACTATAATAAATTAAAATTATAAAGCAAAACAGTCTTTATTACTAGACCCCGATGTTTCGGTTATGGTATGGTCCTGATGTATATATATTAACTGTGCGAGCAATTCATTATCAACGGAAAAGCTGGAAATCCAGTTAAAAGTGAAAGTTCAATAAATTAAATGCATGACAGTTTTATCGACATTGCTCCCTAACAGGAAAATTTGAATTTCATGTTAGCAAAAATAATTTAAAAAATACTGTCGATTGCTTGTAGGTCGCTTTACAGTAGTATGTGATAATTTTGGTCACCCAACAATAAAATAGTTTAATAACATGTATTACTTTTTATTATGAAGAAATGCAATAATTTTATTCAGTATTTAGATCCAGTCAAGGTCGAATCGATTCAACCGATAGTTATTTTGGCCTAAGGTTTGAAAACGCAGTAAAAATCAGTAAACGCAAAACACGCATGAAGCAAAAAACTTTTCGATAATAATGCACTTCATTCAGACAAATGTATCCCAATATTAAGATCAAACATAATTTACATTCGTTTAACATGGATTTAAAGATACAAATCGTAGCTCGGCACTTGATTGAAAATGTGGCCTTCAAAAGCTTGAAGCAATAAGTAATAAAGGCAAAACAAAAAGGAACGTAAATATAACGAGAGTATTAGAATCTTGGTTACGCAAAAACGAGTACATTTTAAAATGTCAAGACTCATATCAATATAGTTTGATTGATAAATATACGTCGAGATGGGCTGGCATTTAAGAAACTATATTTATTCGGATTTCATTTGAAAGTGTATTATAGTTCACCAGACTACGATTCGACCTCGCCTTCAAACATAACGTTACCGTCATGCTGGCTAAAGCCGTTGGTGTCAGAGAAAGAATTGTTCTTTTCCATTGTGCTTGAAGGCCGGCTGCTATCACTGTTAATGGTCGAAGAAGATGACAATGAAGCTGTAGCTGACTCCGCGCTAGATGAACTCAGTCTGGACCCGTTTGTCGTTTCAAGTTTTGAAGCGACCTCCTCTTGCAAATCTTCCCTAATCTGATTTTGCTTATTCTGTAATGCCTGCGCGCTTTCCGAAGCCTCATTAACCTGTTCTCTGGAGACACTTTCGCCGACTGCTGCCTTTTCGAAGACAAACTTCCACCGCTGTTTTTGTGCCTGGCTGGATGCAGCGAAAAAGAGAACTTTTCGCGCTTGCACCAATTTAAATGAAAATTCTCGATCCAAACTTGAATCTTCCACAAGATTGAAACCCGGAAGTGGCATTGTCATCATGGCCCGAACGTCCTGAACAGTAGAAGAAAGTATGTTTTTTTTATCTGTGGATTTAGTAAATATAAAAAGTTCCACAATGCACTTCAGGTATCAATTGGAAATGAAAATCCACAAGACACCGCTAGCGAGCTAATAAAATATTTGATATTCACATGACGCTAAAAGACTGTACATGTGTACACGGTATTACAAAGATGTAGAATAGTATTCAAATAAATACCTGGTTGGCGCCGTAAACATAGAGGCAGAGTTCGTTTTTCGGTATTACGCACCAAACTCGGTTCCAAGGTTTTCTTTTGTCGGCTTCAGCAAACAGCAAATATTCGGACAATATGCTATCACCAGATACAATATCCGCTTCAACCTGACAAAAATCAGATTTTCACAAGTTACCATAAATGGTAGGATAAAATTTGTCAGTTTATAGAAAAAGTGCCCTCTTGCGGCAGATCCTTCTATAAGGTCAAAAGGACATGATGAACGGTCTAATCGCGATTTATTCGCGAGATGTGCCCGCCTCACCTTGTTACGCATAGGGCACAGTGCACCGTCTGATCCCATTTTGTAATTGTTACCCTATCTTTATTATGCTACTGGTGTCGGAAGCCCCGACTGTTGGCGGAAGTGCCTTGATCATAAATACTTGGTGAAATTATCAGCAGTTTACCTCTAGTACCCCTTTCTTGTCAACTTCTTCGTTTTTCCTTCCGGTCAAAATCGCATAGCATTTGTTGCAAACTTTGTGCGTTTTCCCAGTATCGTATTGCAATTCCAGCTTATGCTCAGAGCATTCAGTGCATATGACCTGTAATTTCAAATTCATATTATAGATTAAAATAATAGTAGGTAATTCCAAAAGCTTTATAGGTATTCAGAACTCGGAAGGCAAACTTGCACAGGTTCACATTGCCATTAAAGCAAGTTCTCCTTTGATCACGATTTTAACTGCGCGATGTGAAAAATAGGTGACGCAGAGAATATTTTTCCAAATGCACGGAAACATTAAACTGCCGAGATTAATAATTCTGAGTAATATTTTAGCTTTCCCATGTTTCCCATTGAAAACTCACTCTTACAATTTACAAGTGTGACGTCATAATACTGGCTGGGCCGGGTCATCCTTAAAATTTCATTATTACGTCACAAATAGATCCCTACTTTTTTATAAACCAGAATATCAGCAATTAAAAACTACTTCGTTTCTTGCAAATTGTACGTAGAATTATTTGGCGTTGATTTTACTCAATTGCTGGATTAACATTTTCGATTTTGCGATAAAAATCGGAATAAGTTCATCATGGTGCTAAACTGGTCAGTCAAAGTTGCGACATCGGTTCTTTTGGCCGCTCTTGTCTTCACCACGACTTACATAAATACCAATGACAATGACGAATTAGAGGTACCACCTACGGGAGTCCAAACGGAGGATGCTCGAGCGACTTTTGTGGAAGTATTTGGCGAGACTGTGAAGTTTTTAACCGGAGTGAGTGGTGGCGGGAAAAGCGACGCAAACTACAACAGCCAAGCTGGACAATGTTTTTGTCGCGGGCTTCACATAACGTTCCCTTGGTTAATCGGAGATAACGTTGAAAGTCCTTTGGTGCTGGGACCGTGCATCATAATTTTAACTTCACTCAGTCTGATTCCTACTGTGGCAATAGTGTGGATGCTAAATCTTGCTACAAATAGAAGCAAATTTCTGGGTGGTCGACTTATTAACAGATTGTTGGCAGGAAATTCGAGATCGCTTGCTACTTGAAGAAGATTCTTTTTATTTTGTTATTTGCTTCATGTAATTTTGTAATATATTGTAAGAATTTGTTGGTAGAATTATTTTGTTGTTGTTGTCCTTTTGTTTTGCGATTACAGGGCTATTCCACGAGGGTAAGAACTACGCGATGGCGTTACATTCGGTTGTTATTCTAGTTAAAGTCGTACATGTAAACATACCCTGCCACATGCTCTGCAGTGGTGTCTTCTGCGAAGTAATCTGTTGAATGGCTTAGAACAATTCATGCACATAGTGACTTCATTGTCCTTGATCCACCTTGGAGCTCTTTTACCAAGGTCATGCTCCTCGATGTCAACAACATATTGTGTTCCACCTGGGGTGCACGATATTTCAATCCGCTTTTCTTCATCGTTTTCTGTTTCCTGGAAAGAAGAAAAATAAACAAATGCATTAGAGATTTACCAACCTATTTTTACAAGTGTTAAAAAGATTGACTCACTGCGCGTCTGAAGTTTAGAAAATTAATACTGCAGTAAATTTGTTCGTTAAGTTTACATTATCTTGGGCTCATAACTAATACATGGATGAAAATTATGATGTGCAGCCACAAAAGAAAGCTAACAACAATTAATCTAGACGGACGTGAACCGAATCACCGCAAACGTAATTTTAGGTCGTCAACATAATATAGATTTTGCCTAAAGCTATTGTTTCACTTTTATTAATATCTGCTCGCCTTACAAAGTGAAATCAATGAATTCAAATCGCTTTCCAGAAAAAAAAGTGTAAAACCGAAATGATACGACAAAATGAGTGATATATGTTAACAATCACAATCTAGACAAAGCACGATAAAATTGTTATATGATTGATTCCATAGTAATGGTCATACTGTGTTCAGGATCACGAGTAGATAAAATAATAATTAAAAAGAATCACGTTAGTGATCACATCGCTTAGATGTCTATGCTACAACATTTTTTCATTTAAAAAATATACCCTAATTCCACCATGCTTTTACCTCAAAACTAATCGGTACGTGTGTAGGTGACTTGGCTAGAGGCGAGATGGGATCAATAGGTATAAATTGTTGTTGTTGTTCTGGGCTGGCTACTTGTGGTGGCGGTGTATCTTCTGCAACGCTCGTATTTTTCTTTTTCTGACTTCCACTCTTCATAAAAGACGTTTTTCGTTCCATGAAACTATCGATTGCGTCGTTGATAGCATTCACCCACTTTTCTTTATCTTCAGGAGAACTATACAAAAAAGATTTGTTTATCGTGACCATGTGCTGTAAAATTTTTATTAATAATAGTGGAAATATTTAATAGCCAGATATTTAATAAAACTAATTTTTAACTGCGCTAATTTTATATACTGCGCTATTCACGAGAAGGAAATGGTGGATTTTCACAATTCAGAGCTTAGTATGGGATATTACTCCTCATATCGACGTTAGCTTCATATTTTCCCCGACAAACTAATACTAAGAAGCAGCCACTCACTTGGCAGCAAATTCCATAGATTTTTTAGTTCCGTTTACACAAAATGTGTGTGGTATTGTCATATTAGTGACGTCCGCAACAAGTTCCATCCCGTCTAAATCTATCTTGGCAGTAACCTTATACGACTTCTTCTGCAATCGTCGGAGTGGGGTACAACACAACAGCATGTCGTTGAACTGCATTTAAATTTGAAAATAAATGAAGAAAGGTTGTTATTTTAGGCTTCAGTAATTAAGCTACAAGATGTTGAAGTTATAATCAGATATGAAGGAAAACAAATTGTAAAGGAATATGTGTATTGTTTGTGTATAACTTCACAAATGTAGAGAGCATTGGAAGGCAAAGCCCATTAACATCCACTAACTATTTGACTTTGTCATACCGGTTAGCAGTGAAATTGCGTTCAGGCATGGGCCTATAGATATTAGCCGTTAAACTATCCAGGTTGCATCAATAAATGTATATTTAATGCACGATTGATGAGTTGATGAGCTTCTTACCAAGTACAAATATCTTTCGTGTTTTTCTCCATTTCTTGCCGAAATTTTGATAATTTTTCCTTCTTGAATCAATTCTCTTGAAACGTTTACAAAATCCAAATTGATGTCAACCAGATTGTTATACACGTTCAAAAGTTTGTTGAATTTATCCTGCAGAATTAAAGCCAGTATTTTTTAAACATAATACTTCAAATATAAAAATACGACATAAAAACATGAGACATATTGCAGCATTTTATACGTTGTCTTTGTCATGTCAATATAAAATTCAAGTTCAAATCAAGAAAGTTCACTTCAAACCCTAACTAAGAGAACAAAGTACGAAGAACAATAGCGTTTGCTTCTGCATTAATTGCTGGTTTGCGATAAAATGCTATGTTTTAGCGATATGGTTAGGCAGGGATACAAAATATTGTCAATTTCATTTGCATCAGACGTTCTAAAATCATAGATCAAGTGTTTGACTAGGCATGGAAATTTACTTACGCTCTGTTTCATTGTCTCATTGGAATGTGCGGCGGCAGCTGATATAAGTTCAAGTGCAGTTTCAGCCTCGGGTCTGTCGGGTGAATCCTCTGGAAGTCGTTTCAAATAATCTTCCAATAACATTTTATAACGAGGTATTCGTTGGACTGGTCCAAGCATATGATGCTGTAAGTATAAATGAAACTGATGAGTTCTTAGTACCCTTACACATAATGGGTAGCGATTTTAATATAACTTAATCAAAGAAATTTTTGACTTCGGTGAAAGTGATGTATTCTTCTCTCGTTTTGGTATCACCTTTAAATAAAGTATTACCTTTATTATGATTTGCATTGTATTTCTTCTTCAGAATTTAAAACAAAAAAGGGAAATATAACCAAATACAATTATTTTACTATTTACGGCTGATTTAAAAAAATTTAATAAAAGTTTAAATCTGTTAATTATGAAGATATATATTTTCATTGCAACTTATAAATCTGCCTGGTTCAAAGGTGACATTCTTCGTATTATTTTGACGGAAGTTCACGTTAAAAACGATTGCTAAAAACATCCTAATCCTGAATGCTAACCTATTATTAACATTGTCAATTTTAAAAATATCTTTTCTCCCGTATCTTATTTCAATTAATTGGCTTCTTTGTAATGATGCATGTGGTATTGAAAGCGATTAGCACCATGTTTAGAAAAGTGAAACATGATTTGTTTTCCACACAGTCTAGTGTACCCACATCTTACTTCGATGTGTCGCTTTGATGCTTATTCGAATATAAACAAATAATATCCGCAATAGGTCGTGGGTAGTTTTCCCCAACTTCTGTAATTTTTTTAGTATAGTTCAGACACTCATGCTGTATCGAGTGTGAAAAGCCCCTGATCAGAAAATTAATTCGAGAAAAATTGAATTTTTAAAGAATATATCGTCAGTCGGACCCCACATCATGTTATTTCCGATAACATCCTTTGACCTCTTATTTATGTTATACCTGTCTTTTATGAGCCACAATTTGAAATATTCATTCCAAAATGACGCAACATAAATGGGGATTAAACCGTGCGCAACCCAATGACACATTTATAGGGTATTAACGTGAGAAATGGTCACTTTTAAAACACTATTGGCCAAACGTAGAACACGTATGTGAAATAATATAACAACAACATTTGTTTTGATTTCAACCCAAAAACACATTAGGTGGGAATTTAACGATGTGAAAACATGTTAATGGGGATTTAAAAGTCAAGAAAAGGTCGCAACTACAGAATCAAACCTGTGAGTGGTTTTGACAGATGAAAAATGTGCAGACGGTACGAGAAGGGGAATAATGCAACAATACAAAAAAACTCATACGGAAACCTAAGTTTTCGCATTGTTTCGAAAGCTTTGATGCAGCCATGCTTTTCGTGGGAGGGACAAAATTTAAACACAAGGGCATCGAAAAAGTTATCTTCATCACACTCATTTTTTGAGAATACAGTCATGAATGAATTTTAATTCCAATACAATATCATCAATTTTGAACAATCGGGAAGTGAATAAAGAGAAACAATTTATACTTTGTCTGTTCCGTACCATTCAGTACCTCCCACTCATCTCCACTTGTATCCAAAACAATAATCATGTACAAACTGTCTATTAAAGGCAGTAAGATATCAATGTCCCTAACATAATTTGTCTTTTTTCGTAACAAAATTATATTTAGACCAAGTATGATAAGCAACGGCAAGGCGTGCCTTGACTAATTTGTTTATAGATATCCAATGACATTTGACCCTATCGTTGGTTTTGGGCGCGCATCAGTTAACCCTGTTGTCTACGAAATAAATTTATGTTTGACCAAACACGAACAACTGTTGAATAATGATTTTAATTCGACCCAGAAATATATATAAATATCCTCTACAGTGGTCACGAAAACTTGATCTTTTCCCAGAAAGTAATTTACAGACGACAATATGATTTTCAGTGAAATTAAATCTGAACTGACACGTTTTCGGTTTTGTTTTTCTGAAATCAAATCAGCGATTAGGAGTCGCACGAATCTGGTTTTCTGAATCCATACCTTGAGGTCTTATATAACTGTGAAAAAATTCCCCGAAAGCGTCTCGAAAATTCACCCAGTAATAAATACCCTTTTTAGCATTTTATTTTGTAATAATAGTGGAGTATGGGGAACCAAAGTGGGTAAATGGGAACCGAAGTGGGTAAATCACGTCAGCTACGGTGATACATACAATGAAAATAAGTTCATGTTGTCCGCAAATCACAATAAAAAAAATTGATGTTCAAATACTTGATACTTCCCAACGGCAGATCTAAACTGTACAGTCAGCTCTACGAAGATAGTCGTTTAAGCGAATTCAAATACCAACCTGCAAAGTTAAACTTCCACATTCAGGCATAGCTTGAGTTTGTTTCATGATGCCAGCAAAGTTGCTCGATTTATCGGACCAATGAGTCAGTTTACTCATAGCTTCATCGAAGTTTTGAACGTACAAACTGTACATTTTTAAGAACGGGGCAGCCTGAGTCATGATATCACCAAGTTTGGGGTTCGTTTCCCTGTAAAATATAATATGAACATGGTCTAAAGAAACAGTGAGCCCTCCCATTACTGTGTGCCTATGCTATTCTGAGCACATCCATGCACAGATTCGCACTAACCACCACCAACGCGGACAAACTACTGCATTATTAATAAGGCTAAATTAACAAATAGTGATTTAGCAAATCACCACAATCAGATAAACATATCTATTACTTCTTATTAACAATTCAGCGCATAGGCTGCATAGCGCATTTAGCTCTCATGGGGATTTTAATTTCCATAATACTAGAAAACGCAACCACAATCAAAGTAGGAACGTAATTCGATAGATCTGAATGGAAGCGAAATCGACACTACCTCAGCATTTACCGATTGGCACATTTATCCTCTCAAGTTAACCACAATGTAACTTTAAACGATCGTTTTAAAATCCAAGCTCCGCACTAATAATGTCTATTACTAGTATTCTGCTATTATACACCTTGAGAAATTTGCCCCCCAATTTTTTTCACATCGCTCCGCTGGTATCTTCAAAACCAATTTACTTTTTTGGTACTGTGACTTGCTAACATTTCTAATACATTAGAATATTACTCCAAGCATATAAATGGGAAGTAGGTTTCCAGTGGTATGGACGATGCTTTCGAAGCGCAGGTTTCGGTTTGCATAGTTACAATATTCTCTGATTGTCGTCTCTAAATGCAAGGCATCAGCAATATAAATATACCCACCAGCATTCAAGTCTTTTCTTTAACTGAGGAAGCAAAAAATTACTGTGGAATTGATAAATTGCCGATACATTTGAAAATATGTTTTTTACGTCTGACTGAATTTGTTTCTTGTTGATGGCCTCGAGAACACGTTTGTGGAAAATCTGAAGTAAAAGATAAAAATTAATATATATCCCTAGATGTAGGAATGGTAGATTCTATCATATAGCACTAATACAACACACACTGAGTTATGAGTCTTGACCAATTGAGAAAATAACTGAAAAAGGTGAGCAAGAAAATATTAAAATAGATGTAGTACAAATAGATTACTCAATAAATATTTATTCGCTGTTCGATTTTCTGAAATGTCAAAATGTCATTTGCTTCTCTATACACCTGAACTACGCCATTGTCTAATTTAAGTTTATTTGTGTTCAAAATCACATACTGACTCAAGATATTTATTATATGAGAAAGAAACATATAGGGCTTGCAGTCCACTCCCATGCACTATCACATAGTCGAGACACATGCGTTATTGGATAGTAAACAACATCACAAAAATAACCCGGTTGTTCAAATTTTCTCATAAAACAAGGAGTTTAATTGTCGTTTTGTCAAGACAAAAACCCAATACAAAGCTCAATAAATTGGCCTATTCAATTTTTGCAGACGACGCAACAATATCGGCGACGACCAGTGGTTTGAACTGTGTTTTGATCGCTTTTTGACGTTTTGTGACCTTGTGCGCGATATGTGGTAAGATTCTTGATAGAAGAAATTGCACTAAAGACAGAGTTGGAATACCTAATTTTTCTTGGTGATTAAAAATACGTCTTAAAAACCATCCTTATTTGAATAGCTTGATTTCATATTTTGACAAAATTTTGAGGAAAATTAAAAAGTAGAGTTTAACCAGTAATTATCCAACAGGAAAATTTCGCTATGTCTATTCCAAGCACATCAAACTCAACTTTTGCAAATTTTATGATTAACGCTCAGATATCGATTGATATAAATTAACACCATCAAATTCTGATTCGATAAAATAATTTAACTCAACGGCCTTGAAGGCGATCAGTTTTTTTCACACACGCATCAAATTCTTCAACGATTTTGTTTATTACCATACCAGGAAAACATCGGCGCATATTCTACACCACGAAGTCAAACTAGTCTACAAAGATGGCGGTTCAAGATTACGTTCCTAATTTTACCAACCTGACGCAAGAACTCAAAAACCCAATGCTTTCATGTTATACACAACCTATGATTGGTTGTTCCCCGAGCAAGGCAGTAACACGGCCTAAATAGCGCTTGAACACTAGCCATGCTTAGTTGAGCCTAATCAGTGGAAAATGGCATAAGCGAGACGATTGTTGGGATAAACAGATATCGTCTTGATTGGAAAATAATGGCGCTGTGGTGTTTACATATTTACGGCGAATAATTTCTCAGATGATTGTGCGAGACAATACGGTAATTTAGAATTCAGTATATTTATTTTTAATATTTCAAATCGAACAAATGAGTCAATGAAATCGATAGTTTATGGGGTTTTACTTAAATACATCTGCGCGCGTGGGTAGCTACTGAGCTGCATGGGCTTTCGAATTCCCCACTAATTTTTGCACTGTAAATGTAGGTGAAGTTTACGGTCTTTGTCCACACAATGATTCTTACTCGAATCTAAATTTTATTTATTTATTAGTAGACTGGACTATTGCACATATATGTTACTTACCTGATCTATTAAATATAGTACGTCGACATATGTAACTTCGGTCGATAGCAATTCTTTTGCAATATTGTGAATTTTCACCTCCAGTGGCACAGGCTAAAAATACAAAACAATTTGAAGTAAATACCATAAGACATACAGAAATGAAGTTTTAATAACGCGGGTCTCATTTACAAGTCAGGAATGATAACGGGACTAGACAAATGACAAAATACCCATCTATAGGAATAAAATACACAAGTCGAGAGATGCATTATGACTTCATATTATAAACTTCATTTTTGATTTGACATAAATATATATTCGTATATAAATTTGTAATTAGAGATAGGGTCCTCCTTACTAAAAGTACAAAAGAATGAATAATCGCCAAGTTTTTATAGAAAATTGGAAAGATTGAACTGGGTGAAACCAGGGACTGTTATTTGCACAATCTGAAGTTTTTGCGTGGTAATCCGACCTGTCGATTGAAGTAATGGAATTGAAAATTAAGCGAGGCGTTATGAAGTACCATTTGTTCAGACTACTTCAAACTTTAGCTCATCAAAAAGGAATCCGCACATGTTTTTATCTAGGATTCTTAACGTTTGGCTTTGAATCAAGATACAAAACCTACTTATCCTGTGCGATCATTGATCGTTTGTTTAATGTTCAACTTACGCAATTTTGGGGGTTAAGAGAAATTTTATGTAAAACATAGACATAAATCATGTTCGTTTTGTGATTGGTCGCCCTAATATAGCGTCAAAAGCATAATTTCTTCTCTATTCAGTACATTGATGAACAGCCAAAGCGAAAATTACGCAATAACTATATTTGAACTTCATACTGTATTTCAACCCGATTTGGGAAATATATAACATTTATTCCACCTATAATAACTTCTGCATAACTGGCAAAAATATATTTTTCATATTTTATTATTATTAGATTTTGTATCTGGTATTTTATTCATAAATAAGAATAACGTAATATCGAGAAAGCCTCAAATTATAGACCACCGGAGCATTATATCCCATTTTTATAATGAAACCCAAATACTATACGTGAACATTATCTACGCCAAAGGTATTATGACTACCTAAGGCTGAATATTGATTTGGTACACCCGATGAACATTTAACGTTGTTCCTTATTTTTAGGCCATACTTGTCCATGGCTAAATTTTTCGATTAATACCGTATTTGGTGGGGAGCGTGTCAGAACCGCATCCGCCATTATACTCGCCATTATCAAAGAATGTTAAGTTCATCGATTACAATAGATAGATTGATTAATTCCCAAGGAGAATTGCTTCACTCGAAGCAAAGTGATATTTAGACTTCGGTCTTTTTAGGTAGACATGGAAGGAAAATTCATCAAAACGCATAACACGGCGAGGCATGCGGTCAGAAAACAGTATGTAGAGTTGATGTACTACACCCAATGTACATACCGAGTAATTCAACACAAAAGGGGCATGCTATATTTTATCAGGCGCCTGAAATATTACCGTAATGTGTTACATATGCAAACAGTGTGCGTCCTCGTGTCCAATGGATCATTTTTATAAAGAATAACGTTGTCAAAGGTTTGAAACACGTAATGTAAATTTGAAAACTAAAATGTCCACGATTCAATTGTAGCCTTGATTTTGTCGGGAATCACGTTAGCCATGTATCGTAGAAGTGGAACGTTTACCATTAATCTACCAAAGCGGCAATATAATGCAAACAAAACGTGAACAACTATTAAAGGATGGTACTCGAGTGAAGCAGGTGCTAGCTGAAGTGCTTCAAAGTATTAAATCAGTTCTCCGGGTGGTTTAAAACATGCATATAACATTGATAAATCGTAACTGATCATGTTTAAACCATAATCGATAATGGGAAATTTGGTTGTAAAAATGTATATTTCATAGATAAAAATCAAGTTGGTCCCCGCTTTGCTCGAACAAAATAATTTTTCAATCATGGCCGTATGAAGCTAATTTAGGAGGCAAATGATCGCGACGAGAGTATAATTTAGCACACTAAAACTGACATTCAGTGAAAAATCACGTGGTTATTTGATATACATGACACATGATGTCATAGCTCAAAGATTGGAGTTTGAGAATTTAAATTTGATATGATGAGCTGTGAGATGCATTTAGATCACAAAAGCATATTTTCCATTGTCTTTATATACATTAATCTATTTAAGTTTTTGGACTATTTCTCATTTAATTGTTTTTATCATGACTGAGCTAAATTTCTATAAAATTCTTCTCAACACAACTTTTATTGAACCAGGAATAAAATGTTACAGACCATTGAAAATGACCTGTAAACTGAAGTATATGTGATATTATATCTTCAATGATTATAAAAAGATGTTCATTCGTGATACGTTCTGCATACAAAGATGCTGCTGAGGTAGTATATTTTAACGAGACTGTATTTGACTGAAGATCGATGTTGACATAGGGCAATATTCAGGGAATAATATGTTTGATTACGAGATCGTTCGAAGCCTATAATGTCTGTTCACAGTGTATATACATACATTACTGCGTCGGGGCAAGATAGTTTGTAACGTATCTAATCAAAATATTATGATTGGCTGAAACGCAAGAGCGTTGTAACTAGCATTTCCAACAGCTTGAAAGGTTGTTGGTGTGATGATATCTCATAATTATGGCAAAATTGCATTTCTCTTGAGAGTCATCGTGTTCAATAAGAAGGGGAAAATATAAATTTTAAATTGAAGCTGCGAGTAGCTAAGGAAGATGTAAACAGCTACAAAAACTCAGCAAATTAACATAGTATCTATAACGAAGTAGTTGAGGTCCACACCTCTGTTGCACCAACATAGAACAACTTGATCTATCGACTTACTCATAGACGTGTCGATGATAATTAACGACTGAATGGTCACTTATTATAAATAATAAGTACACTTACCGTGGGGGCTGGTTCGTTTGAATTTTGTTCTTCCTTTGAAGGCGTGAGAGGCAATTGATTTCCATCATCGTCGCTAGGATCGTAATCGCTCCAACTTTCGTTATCGCTATTTCCTGATTTTTTGCTCAACGATGGAACTTCTAGGGAATCTCTTTTGATTGTTATGGAAGAATCTGAATTGCTGGAAATGTTCAGTGTATCCGGTCGCTGTTCCTGTGTCTCACTTTCAGGAGACGAACCGTCATCAGTTCTAAATCTTTTGATGCTAGTGGGAGTAGCGATTACATCAAATATGCGGTTCATTTCGTCATTAAAGTTTCCACTGATGCTTCCACTTCCGCTTATATCAGACAAAATACTGAGTCGGCTAGATACAGTTGTCGTGGACGCAATTGAAGCTCTGTTTCCGGCCTGATTTGGGGGCGGAATGGCTTCAGATTTGGGCCGTTTGTTGGTAGGTGGAGGGGGCGGTGGACCTCGTGGTTTAACGGGTGGAGACTGATTACTTCCTATCATAGGAGATGTAGAAGCTGATCTGGCTCTCGTAGGTTTGTCGGAACTCGGAGGAGGTGCGGGAGGAGTCTTACTTGATGATGACGTTGACGAAAATGAACCTCCACGTTTAAATGCTTCTGGGTCACTATCAATACTGTCTCTGTTTTCTATTGATCTTGCAGAGGATCTAGAATTACGGTTGATACCTGGGGATACAGTGCCTGTGCCACTGTCTGTTGTCGACATACTCACTCTTTTTGCAGCATCAATAGATAACTTACGCTGCAATGCAGCAGTCGGTGAAAAATCAATGTCGGTTTGAGAAGGATTGGGTGATGATGAAGTAGTGTGCTCTTTGTGTAGTGAACTTTGCCTTCTTGGGGCAGTAGGAGTCTGAAGTGCGCCGCCCGTGGAGGACGAAATGCTACCAACGCTTTCGCGTCTTTCCGAAGCTGACAAACTTCCTCTTCTTGGTGGCGGGATCGGTGGGCTGTCTTGTGGGGCCGCTTTTGGAGAGGCATTGCGATGAAGGTAACTTTTTAGTACAGGAGAGTTTGGTATTTTCTTCTCATTTGTTTCTTCCCTAGAAGGAATTCTCTTTGTTACCAGCGGCCCATCAACTGATGTCGAAGACAACGACGATGTAGCGGAACAGCTAGAATCACTGTCAGAATGATTAGAGTTCTCTCTCCGCATATTACGTCTTCTCTCTTTCGCTAAATTTGCACTGTTTCTTCTCATTTTACTTATAAGTAAGTCCTCGCTATTGTCTTTATCCACTGATTCTTCGTTATCGAGAAGACGTGCCAAGTCGGATTTCAGCTCTTCTGGTTGTGATTTTTTATTATTGTTGGCAGCATGTCGAGGTGAAGTTCTTTTGGCATTCTCCATCGCCAATTTACGAACACTGACATTTCCATTTGCCTCATCGAAAATTTTCGGTGAATCTGGAGAAGAAGTCGTAGATGAACGATTCTTTCCACGATTGATGGACCTATGAAAAAATGTTCATTAGGTTACTCATGTATTTATAAAAAAAAAAAGTGATGGCGGAAGTATGCACTCAACTTTACAATATTTTACCATAACCAAAAATGTGGATCTAAATATATTTAAGTAACATTTGCGTCTTGATTTCTGTAAACAATAATCCTAAAAAACTACTAAAACATTTAATGTGTGATATTTGTATATATAGCAGCGGTTGTTATACATAAATCAACAAATGGGAATATAATAGAGATATATCGAATTGATAACGATTGTCTATTTTACAATAGGTAAATGACTGATATTAGCAATATAAGAAACTCAAAGTTAGTCGAATATGTACCATATTCAAATCTTGGCCAGTCGCGTGAATATATTACCACCTAATGACGACACGGTTTTAGCTACTTTGGACAGGAACAAGGAAACCTACTGGCATACGTAAATAACCTATGAATGGTACAAATAACCTATGAATGGTACCGAGGATCTCTTCATTCGCATTAGGTGTTTGTTCATTTTCAAGTTACGATCGGGATGTAACAGGTTTTTGATTTTACTATCAATTCGTAATTAACAGGCCACGACTTTGGGTTCTAACCTAAAGCCTTTAACGAGTTACTGTATAAATAGTTTCAATTGTCAATTAAGCCGTAACTCAAGTCTGCAATTTGCCTTTTATACTTAGTAATAAAACAACCATTAAAGTTTCTTGTTTTGCTGAGGGGCGCAATTAATTCCCCGTTCGCAGAGATGACCATCGTAAAATTTAAATGCTGATCGAAAAGGTTGTTCTTTGGATACCATAGCAAAAAATACATCTACGATTAAGCTAGGATCGTGATTGAGACATACTTAACAATGCGCACAACCCGCGAGCCATGCACAATCGAAGATGTAACGTATGTGACATTTTTGACGAGATGGAATTTTTAAATCTGGATAAAATTGGTGTAATCAGTAAAATCCCTAATGGACAGGTGATCTGTGAGGTATGAAGGCGAAATTAATCGCTTTACATCTGTCTTCAGGACAAGAAACCATAAATAAGGTTTAGTTTTACGTTCTAGAATACACATAACTTTTATTATTGAATATAAAGAGATAAAAACCATCAAGCTGTAAACGTGATTTCCTTGAAAGTCTGTCAAGTTTATTTTCTGCGTAATTGTAACGTTTCCCAAGATTTCAAATCGTTGAAAAACATTCGAGGCCATCCGACTATATATAACATAACAAACTATTAAATCCATTATGTTTATAATTTATAAAAATATAAGTCTATAATGATCAAGCGTTCATCTTATAGCTGAATCAAAGTTAGTATCATGTAAATGCAGGGTGCGTCAAATCAAGTGCACCATTAATACTTCATCTCTTTGTAAACAGTCATTCTATTTGTTCGTCCACGTACATTTTCACACACACAATGTCAAATTCAATTTAATATTTGCGATCAAAACGACGAACCCGCTTTCTTTCGAAGTATATATAGCACGTGACGCAATGCATGCTGTACATCGTAAACGTCGTGACGAAATACAGGTATTATACAACAAGACGTTTTTTTGATCTAAATTGTTCGACTATGTACCAAGGATAATTCATGTCTTTTAATGTAATCCATTTATGGCCATACGCGCGTAGGCAGAACCGCCTTGTGGTAATTATGATACATATTATTTTCGTAGAAAGCAAGAAAAATATCGAGGAAACCATATTATAACGAAGAAATCTTTAATTCACGGATGTGAACCTGAATACGACTCAATTCAAAACTTTACATATTCTACCGTACCAACAAGTTTACAGTCTTATTACCGTGTTTATCAGCTCTAGCTGAAAAAGCTTAGGAAGCAAAAAAGTTGCGGTGTTATTCATTCACCGTGTATAATTTAAACAAATGGTTAGTTACGTACATTATCCAATTACAAATAACAATACTGGGAAACAGTGTTCCGTAGTAGTCATACAGCTTCCATAACATAACATATGATCAGTCTAAAGTTGAAATCAGCAATATTTTTCATCAGCGATTCGGTACGAAATGGCACATTGGGCTATGACTGCAAAGATTGGCACACCGAGAACAAATTGAATTAAAATGTATACACAATACAATTCTCACAATGATAAAATTGTTATATACCTTATGACCAGCATAAGGCCACATAATGTCATACAACTCTTTCTTTGCTTCTTGCATTTGCAACATGTACCTCCACCCGAACAAGATGAAGAAGATCGGGAAAGCACATGAGTTTTTTCAAATTCTGCTGCTGAAAAACTCGTTTCCCCATCAGGAACGGGCGTGAAAGGAACTTTCGACTTCATTTTAATTCCGATAATTTACTGAAGTATTTTTTAATTTACAATGTAAGATCAACTCGATAACACATAGTCAGTTCACAATTATATTTCTATACTTATAACTATTGCAGCATCTAAAAATGAACGCCAAAATTTATGAGTAACTATGAATATTTCTAATTTCCGAGATCAACTAACACATTTACACTGTGCACACATGTTCTCTCTACTGTAATTTATTGTTCTGTTCCGATATTTCCAGGCGTGAGAAGTAATAATTCTCATATTCTCAAAATCCAACATTGCCACATATATATATAAATATATACTTTCAACTCTATATTGTTTTTGTGTTCGCCGAAATTTTAGATGATGTCATCTATATTTATTCAATATGTGCTGTATCATAATAGAAAGCGCGATTTTATCAGACAGCAAAACACAAAAACTCTTTCATTTTTCTGGTTTAAAACAACAACACTTTTCAACAGAATTCAAAATTTGGGATATTTCGCTTTAGTATATGTCTATACACAGTCTTATAAAGCTTTCAACACTTGAAATATTATGTAACATATAAAGTATGTGATACGGTGTGTGACAAATCAAACGCTTTTTGTCCCGAAAAGTCCTCGACATATTTTGCTAAAATGACAAACACCTTGGTTATATCGCGTCAGTATATACGTATCAATAATATTGTATATCCTTACATAAATCGCCGTTATGGTCTTACCAAATATAACCAAACTACTACCAATGAAGATTTCAGCGTATTTAACAAAAAATCTCATAATAGAGCAATTTTCGAAAAGAGTATGACAAAGACACCAATGCTTACTGCACATCACCTTAAAAACAAAGACTTGTGTGGTTTTTGCTATTCAGCAATTGCTCTACGAGGCTTACGACATAATATATGATTCAACCCGCAACTCAATATTTGTTTTTTAATGCAGAATTTCTTTAAATCCAGTAATAACATTTATTTTTCACTTTTCGATTAGAACAATAGAGAGGACATAGGTCAGTTTCCTTTGGCTATGATGCAGTTTCCACGAGAAAAACACCTCATAGGAACGTAACTGAGACAAGTAAAAGTTATTTCTATGATATAGTTATTAAAGTAATATACCATTTATACTTCAAGTTATTTTATATAATCATAGATATATATATTCAGGACAACTTTTCTGTTATTTTTAATATTCTATCCCATCGAAATTGTCGCAATACAATAGACCCGACATTCGTCATTTAGTTTCAAGCCCTCTTGTGCTAACACCAGGACAAGTGACGATAAGGTACTTTTTGTGGAGTCATAACAATTCAATTCTGCAAATTCATATTTACAGAGCCAGACTTACATCATTTCGATACTTCGTAAACTCGAAGTATCGTTGGGAAAACAGCCCAAGCAACTTCGTAGTCCGCATAAAATATATCATTAATAAAAACGATAATGTTCGTCCCAATGTTTTAGCATATTTCGTGAGTAGTAATCCACTAATTTTCCGGATTAATTTGCGTTTGCATATTTTCCATCTCTGTGAAATTTTATTGTTTTTGTTTTGGTAGATAGGTACACAAACCCACCTACGCAAATTCGTCACTTCCTCGGGCAACTGACAACAAATTATATAATATGTGCAAATAGATCCAACATCCGGGTATGTTCCCCGTAGACGTTTTTCAGACATTTCCTCGGCATCGCATTTTTTTGGATATGATGGCCAATTTTGTAGAAATGATATAAGACTTAACAACTGTAAAATTGACTCGATGTGCGTAGCATACGATTACTCAGAAATAATCAAATATTTAAGTCAACTGGCTACGAAACGTCCGGCAAAAAAACGAAAATTGCGTCTGATGACGTTAAGTTTTCTTTTTACCTTTTGAGTTTACAAAAATTGTGGAAGTTGTAAATTATTTATTTGGACGAAAACCGGAGGTAAGCTATGCGATAGATGATCAACATTCGGTATATCAAAACTGACTTTAAAGTAAAATAAAACGTATGAGTTTTGCAATACGTTTGTTTTTGAAAAAATGCGATCCAGATGACTTCAAGACGACTTTACATAGAAAAATGAATAGTCAAACATTTCTATCGACTTTTTTGATTAACTGATACGTCTCAAAAAGATATTCAGTGAGAAATACTGCAAAGTTTTCGATGTTGTCGCTCATTCTAGTTCGACAATTACTGACATTGTGCTGAAACTTCTCTGTTGTCAAAATTGTTGACTGTATTCACTACAGTTTATATTTCAAGATCTAAAACTTAGAAACTGGCATCGGCAACTGCGAAACTCTTTTTGCCTTATCGTGTTAGTTTTTGTAACTGCATAATATTGTAACAGTCTCAACTTGTCTGGAAGCTTACATTTACCTGCTCATTATAGTGCTATTATAAATTACACGGATCCATTTGGTGATATATCATAACTAATTATCGCGCTTATATCAACCGTCGCCCAAGTACCTGACGTTTACGACTTACTGTGTATAAAGACTGGTCTGCGCCTAAACTCTTGTGTAATTAGTTATAATTACATCGCATGCATACGGAAATGCTAACTTGTTAAATCTTTCGTACTTTGAGAAACATACAAATAATAAAGGAGGAGGAATTTTAGTATACGCGGTCATTGGTTAGCGTCGTATCCATTTGAATTGGTTTAAATTACC